TCTAGGCTGACTTAATTATTTAGGTTTGGCAGATTAAGTTAATTCAGTTGGTCCAATTGTAAGTAATAACCTAGGATCCACTGGGCTAACCATGGTTTTTAGGGGGTTTGGCAGATTTCAATAATTCAGTTGACCCAATTTTGCAAAAACACGCGGCCTCAGTAGGCGTCGAACCCACACAGCAGAGAAGGCTTCTGCGCAGTCAAAGTTCTACTGTTGAGCTACGAGTTAATCTCTAGAAGGTATGTTGGAGCTTGGAGAGCACCATTTAACCAAAAGCAAACGAAGGCCATAAAATCAGCTTTAAAATCTGAAAAAGTTTTCAGTGGTTGGAGTCCAAGTGCAGAGAAAAACTGGATGCAGCGTGAGATAAAACCTCAACTGGTGAATCATTCAGTTGACTGACACAGGCATTACGACATATGAATGCTTCGAATTTCTGGCGTTTTAACACCGATCCGGAAAGTTGGCTGTGTGGAACTTTCACACAACGGCAAAAAAATTCAAAATACGATTTAGCGACTACATGTCTCTTCGGGGTTGTGAATTTATAGTGTTATTCCAGTTATTAATAGAGGAGGCAGAGTTGGAAAAAATTTGGTGCTGTAGGGGAGAGTGAGATATAAAACAAAACTGCAGTCAGTGTTTGCTGATGAGCGGTAAAGGGGACCGGGGAAACCGGGCAAGCTAATAGTATAATTTACTCGACCCCTCTATATAAACTGATAAGTTCACATCTTCTAAGTTTTACTGGATTAGTTTCTGAGCGTGTGAATATCCAGTCAGCTTATCTCCTCCAAAAGCTCCTTCTGAAAGGTGGTTTCATTCGAGCATGATTGTAACACGTGAACTTGGTTTAAGGTTTGCCTTCTAGAGAAGGAATGTGCATGTTTGATCCTTTGAGTAGGTTATTAACTCCAATCGGAGACACCAAAGTCATTCGATCGACTGTTGTCCGACTTTTAAATGACAGTGGGGTCTATAAGTAAAGAAGAAGAAGGCACGTCTATCACCGGAATCATTTTTATTCGTCTGAGCTTTTGAACTCTTACAGGGTTCTAAGTGTCTACAGGAAGGCGACGAACACCACACAGCTCCTCAATTTCCACAGCAACCATCCGGCGGCTCAAAAACGAAAAAGAATGAGAACACTGTTCAAAAGAATCCAGACTAACTGCAGTAACCCGGAAGTAAAAGCATGTGAGGCACGATATCCCCGCGACCAGTTTATGCGGGATGTGTCACCGTTACAATATTTGCGACGTCGTCTTTATAACACTGACGACGCAGGTGAGACTGTTCCCCTAAATGTTACAACAGTGTGTGACGCATATTTCAACAATCGCTGGCTATCATGCAGCACAGTACAAGCATGGGTGACGCACATTCCACAGCGCGTATTTCCGTTACAACAGGATGGATATCCAGACGCCTTCATAAGCTGATACCTACGTGCTCGCCCGCTGAGGATTCAATCAGAATCAGGCCCGCGCTGCCATACATCAAGGATGTGTCAGAAGTGACCGAGCGCATTGGTGCGAGACTAGGTGTCGACATTGCACACCGGCCCAAGGCTACCGTGCGCAGCCGAGTCACGAAGATGAAGGACTGATTAGATCCGAGTGAACAGTTCGGTGAAGAGTATCGCAAACCATGCGTAAACTGTCCTAGAAATTACACAGGACAGACTGTACGCATGTTTTTTCGCGCATACACGACCATAAGCTGGCCGTAAGACGGGGAACGCCGAATCACAGTTGGCTGCCCACACCTACGAGACGGGTCACTAATTTAACTGGGCAGCCGCGAAGGTAATCACCCGCGCCGGCAGAAAGAAGGCCGAGAATTGATTGAAGCCCGGGCCACGGGTGGGAACTTAGTTAATCGATTTATTGATCGGACGCTGGCATAAATAGTCCTGCGCAGACATCTTCGGGCTGACGTCGCTGGTAGTTGATTGGCCCCTGCCCCCTAAAACTGTTGCTCACGTTTTGTCAACGCTTTCAACTCTGACGACGAACTCCAGTAAGAATTTGAAAGCTCAGACAAATAAAACCATGATTCCGGTGATTGACGTACCTCATTCTTCTTTAACTTTACGCTCACAAGACTAGGATGCAAACAGTCGTCTCAGCTAATAAGATCTTTATTTGTGAAGGCGCTGCAAATGCCTCTTAGCTGCAATTGCATAGCTTTCGTATGTTTAATTACGCCTTCCCCCTTGTGCGTAAGCATCTACTCCTTATTGAAACACTGTTCATTTATGGGGGCCCTCCGTGCAAATTACTCCGGCAAAATCTATTCTTAACCGTTTTAACAATAAAAAGAAGCACAGATTAGGAATACTATTAGGTGATGAACTTCCTTAAGCTCTTCCATGAGGATGTGCCTCGCAGACGATTCCTTTAAAGCAGGACTTCGAGTACGAGTAATCAAAAGCTATCTGCCAATGTTCTTAACGCAGTCGCGTTGCAGTACGAGTCGTTTGTCAATTAGAAGATAATGATTTGATGTTCTTTTTGTATTTACTGCTGTTTTGAATGCCAACACTGCTGAAGAGACTACAATGATCATATAGTTTATCTATTATATTCGAACCATTTCTACTAAAAACGGCTTCATTTAGCAGATCAGTTGCCGTTCGGAGATCAGTGGCTTTTGATCAGAGCCTGTGGGGATGGCAGTCACCGGGAGAGTTAATTAATTGAGGGCGGTTGGTTCGGTGGCTGTGGATTAGGGTAACTGTTGGGTCTATAGGGAGTTCTTCTGCGCACAGAAAACTGGGTTGCGTAGTATAATTGCAGTCCCTCCCTCTGCCCTAGCCAACAAACGCTGTGTAAGCGATTTTGGTTCTATAGTTTAAGCAGACCTAGAAGGAAAACAGGAAAGCTTCTCTGGTATTTACGCGGCAGTTTGTGCCTACCATCGGCACTAGAACAGAGCTGTTAACATTCTTTGTTTGGCCTTTCCAACGGCTGCTGGAAGGAGTTCTGTTTATCAATTTAACAAGCGCCGGCTCCTGCGACCAGTGTATTGTGCCCCACAGAGGTAGGTTAAGAAATACGTGCACATAGAGGGTTCTGAACTGGCATTTTGTCTTTGACCTCTCAGTACAGCAGAGGGCTAAATGAGGCCAGTACATGGACATCGGCTGCTGGCAGGCTGCTTGATGCACTTTAACTTAAGCGCCTTCCTAAAAGTTCACTTGGCGCGTGCTCCCCTGAAATGGGCCTGTGATGAAAAGTCCTTCCCTACCTGCCAGTACCATTTCTGAATAGTTTAAACAGCATTATAAATATACAGACCTGAAGAGAGTTCAACGAAAGCAGACCTATGCCCACCAAGAGATCAAGCGAGAGAGATACGCTTTACTTTGAAAATATAATTCCTATATTTTAGCAAGAAAGTCCTCTATTCACCATAAAGGCGCAGAAACCGCACATTACCGGGGACTGCAATTTTCAAAATCGTGGAAAAATGTCCTTTAATATGTGGCAATATGCGGTCCAAATTAAACTTCATTCAACTCGGCGCTAGCCTCATGCGCTGATGACCTCAGTCTTTTAGTTCTACTAAACAATGAGGGGATACAAATCGGTTTCTATTGGGTGTACTGGGCCAACTGGTGTATGAGAAAATGTTGCATGCAAATAGAGGAAAAAGAGTTGGTGGTACAATTTGAAAGGCCCGAAAATCGCTTTTAGAATGCTCAGCTCGAAAAGTAACAGGCTTACTTTTGAATGAAACTAGCTGTCAATGACCATTAGAAAAAACGACTTTAACATAATTTTACTTGCTTGGAAAGCGTGATTGTGACAAAAAATAATCCTTCCAGAAGTAAAAGATCAGGGGATATTTTTATTACAAATGCTTCAGGGAGTGTCCCTCCCCTGGAGTCTTATCCTGCTCTGTCTGTACATGAGTTTGTATGAGGCTGAAATACGTTAAAGACGCCGGTAACAGTCTATCATATAGATCTCCAGGGAAATAAAATATCCAGAATTCTGTAATACGTGACCAGTGGTAATGTTAATTCGTCTTTATTTGTAATTTACTATTTTATAAGATAACTTAATTTAAGTTATACACCATATTATAGTTATTTATTTATTTTTTTTTAAATTATCGCACTCTTAGGCCTTTATTAGCTTCTAATGATAGCTTTATCTACTATTCCCTGTTTCTGTTTTTAATTTATATTTTCTCCTGCTTTCCTGTATTGTCTCACCCGTATAACCGTCTTCCTCTAATAACGCAGGTGCTGTATTATAGAATTCTGCGGTTTTTGCTTTCCGTGGGGATGCCTATAAAGCCTGTTACCAAAAAATGTACCTCAAGGATTAGGATTGGCTGCCATAAAGCGTTTTGTGAAATATATAAATACTATTCAGTCAGATTCGCTGACTGCCCATCATCATCGTCATCATCATCCTCATCATCAGCGGGCGCGCTGAAAATGGGCCAAAACCAGTCGTCTTTACGTAGAGTCATATACATTGCCAAGTATGAGCCAATAAGCTACAGCGTCAAATTAATGTTCACCATATGCCATCCTGTTACTCCCTCCATAAGTTAGATTTAACCTCTGGAGAATGTCAGCTAAGACCGGTTTCCTAATTGTCATCCCTCGCCGAAACCCACATTTGCTTTTGAGCTGAAAAAGGCATGCTGTATGTAGAGAATATTCTATAACATTTTTTCAGGTAAACGGTTTGTTTTTCTCACACGTTTACAGGGCGTTGACATCAAGAACTTTGGTAGCAGCTGGGCTGATGGCCTGGCCTTCTGCGCCCTCATTCATCATTTCTATCCAGACGCCTTCGATTTCGCCTCTCTGGATCCCAAGAACCGGAAAGAGAACTTTGTTCTTGCATTTGAAACTGCCGAGTAAGTGGCTGCAGCAATAGTTTATACCTTCCGCCATGATTTGCTGTCTTGATTTTACGGAAACCAATCTATACGCCCTGAGAAAACTATAAAACATGAAGTTGGACTTTTGGAAGGTAATAGGTCTTAATTTTTATGACGAAGGTGTCAGTTTAGCAGTATGCCTATCTGAGTGAAAATAGAGCGAGAGAGGAATATGCTTTTGTTTGAGGGTGACATCCAACCTTTTCGGCAAACATTGACCTAATTCACTGAGACCAAGCGATAAATTAACAAAATGCTCAAACATATAGAGGTTTACAGAAAGTCCACATATGCTTCAACATGAAGAGTTAGTGGAAGATAAGATGCCAAAGTAACACCAGCGTACCGGAAAGAGGATACCTCATTGGGCAGAATGCCTAAGGATTCAAGCCTGGGCAAGAGTCGCAATCGGAAAACGCACTGGATTGAATTCTGATGGTTCAGTAGAAGATCACTGGTTACCGACCGTGCTGAGACGTGTTTCAGGCTATCTTTCAGTACCTAGAGAGGTGTTTAACATTTGAGATAATGATCAACGACCATTCCATCAGCATATTTTACATATAACCATCAATTTGGTAATCGTAGGCTACCACTGTGGAGAGGGAAGTGGTGAGAGGATTATATAGACCCCCGAAGAACCGGGCAGTTGTTGGGGAGGACCGTGATTTTCGCTTGCCGCATTGGAAGAATTGAGCGCGGCAACTTTAGTAGTCACCAGGCCCAAAGACATCCCAGCCGGGAGAGCCGCATGCATACCTTTTTTTTATTAAGGATGAGTAGTCAAGAAATACACATTTTACACATGGCAATCCTCCGCAGTATACTTGTTGGCCTGACAACGTTGTTATCTTTCATCCGAGATTGTGTTGGCCCCTAACTAAAGCAAGTCCCTCAGTTAGAGTACCCAGTTATTCCAGCAAAAAAAAAACAGTATCGGCTAGGTGTACAAATCTAA